GAATTCAGGGATAATCGTGTCTTTCTGCAATGACCAGCCCCCATATCCTTTCCCCCAGCAGACCCGTGTGTCACACATGTTGGTGTATGTGCCAAAGAATGAAACATGCACTGTTATCCACCCAATTTGTAGACCTCAGTTTCCCTAGGGAAAAAAATTGCTGGTAGGTTTTTTTCCTTTATTTTATTAATTTCAAAAATAAATACAAAAGCTTTTTTTTTTTTTAAACCCATTAACTGTTGACTCAAGGACAGGGACCAGGTTTTTTTGAGACTTAAAAAATAAAAATCCATTTGGGCATTCATTAAGTCAAGCAAGATGAATCAGGCTTTTGGTTCTATAAAAGCTTGGCTTTTTATGGAAAATCTGTCTTTTCAGTTCTCTGCTTGCTGGAGAAAAGGATGCAAGAAGCATGAGAAGAGGGGCTGGGCAGACGGCGTTATAAACGCCCGGAAAAGCCCCTTTCAGGCTCAGCTGTGGCCTGGAGAACAAAATGGGGAGGGTGAGGAGTGGGATGGGGGCGGGGAGAGGGCAACCCCCTTGGTCCTCAATCACCATTCATCCATTTTCTGGTCCAGGAAAGTCACTGACTTTACTGTCAAATAACGTTTGAAATTTCTATCTGAACTTTGGTGACTTGCTCTATTTCTCTTTGGAAAGTATTGTAAACTAAACTAGATTGATAGATCCATTGAAGTATAGTTGATTTATAGTACTGTGGTAGTTTCAGGCGTACAGCAAACTGATTCAGTTACATAGACGTATTTTTAGATTGTTTTCCATTATGTAAATATAGTTCAATTAAATACAGTTACTACACAGTAAATCCTTATTGCTTATCTATTTTATGTAGAGGAGTTTGTATCTGTTAATCCCATATTCCTAATCTATTCCTCCCTACCTCCCTTTTCCCTTTGGTAACCATAAGTTTGTTTTCTATATCTGTGAATGTTTCAGTTTTGTGTATAGATTCATTTGTATTATTTTTTAGATTCCACATATAAATGACATCATATAATAGTTGTCTTTCTCTGACTTACAGTACTTAGTATGATAATCTCTAGGTCCATCTATGTTGCTGCAAATGGCAATATTTCATTCTTTTCTATGGCTGAGTGATATTCCATTAAACTAAAATTTTTTTAATTTGATTTTTCCATCCATTATAAAAGTAGTAGAGATATCCATGAGGAAAAACTCAGAATATACAAAAAAAAGTAAAAAGTAGAGAAAATAAAAATGGAACCACTTGATCCATAGTTGAATATTCACAGAGACAGAGACCTTCTTTCCAAGGTTTACTGTAAGGTTAGTTTTTGGATTGCAAACTTGTGATGATGATCTTAAACACATCTCATGTTCAAAAAATAGGAACTCATTTATTTGGCACTTACTATTTGCTAGACACTTTTATGTACATAATTCCACTTAATGGCCGAAAACAGCCGGATGGAAGAGATACTGTTGTTACTTCCCCTTTTACAGATGAGAAACTGAGTCTCTGATTAGCCACAGAGTTAGTAAGTGGCAGAACTAGGCATTTACTATTTTTTTCACTTAATATTGAACGTGATCTTTTCCATGTTATAATGCTACTTAAAAATAATTTTAATTGTCCAGTTGCTATATTATAATTTATGAAACATTCACCTACCATTGGATTTTTGGGTTACTTCCAATTTTTTGTGGTTGTGAGTAGTGGTGAACTTTTTTTCTATTTGTGACTGTGGATAATGCAATGAACATCTCTGAGCAAAGCTATTTTGGGATTTAAATGTTTTTAAGGATTGATTTCCAAAAATAAAAATGGAATCACTAAAAATGTTTTTAAGGAGTTTTACCTATAAGAGAGTCACACTGATGTTCAAATAGGCTCCTTTCTCTGTATCTTCATTCAGCAATAGAAAGTATTATTGAAAAATTTTAGTTGAATTTTTTAGGAAAGAAATTATAGTACATAGTTTGAATTTATTTTTGCCTTATAAATAATTAGCTCAAAAATTTTTTCATTCATTTGTTGGCCAGATATAAATCTTTTTTATGAATTGGCTTTTTTAACCAGTTATCTACTGGGGTATTAATGTTTTCCTAACCAATTTCAATGAATAACCAGATAGCAAACAGTTTGTCATTTGTCACAGTCTCAGTATTGTCCTCAGGCTGCTATTTTCCTTTAATGTTTGAGTACCTTTTTTCATGACATTTGAAAATGTTTATTTAAACCTCTCGGTGTTTTCCACTGTGACATCCTTCATGTAGAGTTCAGATGCCCACTTCTCTTTTCTCCAAGTAAGCTGTTTTTAACACTTCTGAGAAATTTCTCAGTAGTATTTATAAACTTTAAGGTTCAAAATAACACAGAGAAAACAACATCATCCTATTCCAAGCTCAGACTTACCTGGACAATTGATTGCTGCAAACTACAGATCTCAAACCAGCCAAAGCTGATTTGGGCAAGCCTGCTCCAGGCAACCTTCGGGGTCCTCCATTCCCCTGGCAAGCCAGCCCCGTATTTAAAGGGCTCTCATTATGTGATGTCGAAAATTCTCCATTACAGCTCATTTGAAATGCTTCTTCTGCCATGTAGATCCGTTTCCTTTGTCCTGTTCTCAGCAGAGACAGAACAGTGAGGCATTGTTCCCCAGGCCGTGATTCCTCCTGGGAAGCACCGACCCTGGGCATGGTGGGCTCTCAGACATTTCTTGATTAAAGTTGGTATTTAAAATAATCAGAACTATTCTCAAGCTTCCTTTCTCCAAGTTAAATAAGCTAACAACTTTTTTTTTTTAACCCTTTGGATCATCTCTGTGTCTTTCTTTTACTTCTAGGAGCTCCTGGTCCTCTTGAAACACAGTCTCCAAGTTGAGACAGAGACATCTATGTCCTCCAGTCACCCCTGCTCTGGGTCAAACAACCATATACTTGCCTTCTCTAGAAATACTGCTTCCTGCCACCACACAAATAAACAGCTGACAGTGCAGAGCTTGGAAAATTCATTGGCGCCAAGAGGAGAGAATCCAAGAGTGAACAGAGAAGTCAGTTTAGGCTGAAGCTTTTTCTACTGAGACTGAAGAATGATTCATTTTCTTAGATTCTCTCATTAAATCATTATTGCTTAATTATAGGGATCTTTAGAAGGCCAAGGAAACCGAGTTTGAATTCTCTTCTAGAGCTTTTCTGCAGGCTCTCTGAGGAACGTAGGAAGGGAAATTGGAGGACAGGCACCCTTCTGACTAAAGCCCAAGACAGCAACCATTGATTTTGCTTGGCAACGCCCACGGATCCCTTTCAGTGCTTTTAACGTTTCCTTGTTGGAGAGTCCTACCAAAAAAAGTATAGCACTTTTTGCCAAATATATTTTAAACTGACCCTACTATTAAGAAAAGAGTAAGAGAATATTAGCTATCAATCGTGTTTAAGAAATGACTTCCTACATTAAGCTAAAATTCCTTCTTTTTAATATCAATTTTAGTGACCCTGGGTCTAAATCATCTCTTCCATTAATCTCTCAGAAGGTCATTTTTAGAACATGAGTGTGAATGTATAAAAACACAGAGAGACATCTCAAGTGACAGTTTTAGTGTCTGTGGTTAAGGCGCTGAACTGGATTGATTTAGACGTCCTGTCACAGCAAGATAATTGACCCTTCCCTGGTCTGTACTCCCCAAAGCAAGCTTTGAAGCAAACCAGCTCAGCATGCAATTCATCTTTCTCTTCCTTTGACTTTTAAAGTGGCCTGGGTCAAGCGCAGCCTTCTTCCAATGAATGATGTGGTGTTGGATTCTTCTTTTTCTATTGAATTATACAATCCCAGGTGTGACAGTGCCTCACCCCTTGACCTTGGGTCAGTCACTTAACCTCTATGTCCAGGTGGCTGCACTTAAAATGGAAGATGTTACCATTGATCTGAAAATTCAGGGACGAATAACTTATTAATGATTTGAAAGCACTTAGGACCTATAAAGCACTATAAAAAATCTCTCCTGTAATAATATACAGATAGCATAAGAGAAGTGTGAGAGTCAGTCGCCATCGTGGAAATGAACCACTTACGTGCCATCCTGATGCTCCGTGAAATTTAAGTGAAGGAGGAGAGCCCTTTTCCACCACAAAGTTTTTGCCAAAGGGCAAAGACATCAGAGTAGGTGGACACTTGTAAATTTGCCTTCCACTTCTTTCCCTGTGGCTGTTCTGTAACAATTGTGATCCAAAGCTGTCTTTATGTGCCAGACAGTCCGGGGTCTCCTCATTGCCACCGGCCTCTTTTGACCAAGAAGGTGGAAAGCAAAGCTGTGTTTAAATGCCAACACGTTTGGAGCGTGTACGGGTCTCTCTGGAAACCCTAGTGGAGCATGTGGAAGAAAAGATGGACAGGCAAGTGGATGGATACCTTGTCAACCATCTGAGGGTTTTGGAAAATGTGTAGTTGTGCTACTGGAATGTGAAGCATTTCTAGACCAAAAGAGGCCAATTTAAGGCGACACTTGAAAGAGATGGTGCTTACTGTCACGTGTACGTGTCCTTACTTTGACTGCTTACCATCTGCACCCCACTCCCATGCACGGGGAATTCTCCCACCTTAGGAGTTTTGTGTGTGTGGTTTTAAAACTTTTTACTGTAATGTAACAACGAAGTAAACAGTAATTAGAAGCCTATCAATTCCCCCCCAAAACAAACTCAAAAAATGTAAACAGGAAAACAACTCTGCCTATACTTGTACAGCTTCTCAAAGCACGTTAGAATTTCAATGATCAAGAAATTTTAAAGTAGCAGTAATTATTTAAGAAAAAGTTCCCCTCCTCCCCTCCTCCAACCCCAAGTATTTAACACGAAAGAATGGGCTTTCTTACACGTTAATTTTATCCCTATTGGACGCAACAACAACAACCATCAATAATTTGGCAGATCGTCATTCACGAGAAGTCTGGGAAGTGCACAAAGACGAAGCAGGATCCTGTCCCCTTTCGCCGCCCAGCCGTCCTACTCAAGAAAGACAAGCAAAGAAACAATCTTGTTGGATGATCCACAGGCCCAGGGAACGGGGTCTAGGGCTCAGGAGCCCGGCCAGGTCTGGGTCTCCAGCAGGGGCTACTGCAGCCCGGGCAGGTGGGCCGAACCGCTCCGCCCCTGGCCTGCTCGTCCCGCCGCCGCCGCCGCCGCCGCCGCCGCCGCCGTTCGGGCCTCCTGCTGGTGTGTCTGCGCCTGGGTCTCCACGGCCTTCCCGGGCTCCCTGGAGGGGAGATGAGCACGCCTACACCCGCCGAGGGTGATCAGGGGCTCTGGGAGGTGGGGGCGGAGCCAGCCAGCCCGGCCGCGGCGCGCGTGCGCGGCACGTCCGTGTCCCCGCTTTCCGGGTCCGCGACGGTGGCGAGGTGGGGAGGGAGTACGAGGGGGAGGGGAGCGCGATGTGGGGAGGGGGCGTGAGGTGGGGAAGAGGGCGCGAGGGGGAGGGGTGCGTGGTGGGGAGGGGGTGCGACGGGGAGGGGAGCGCGATGTGGGGAGGGGGCGTGAGGTGGAGGGGGCGTGAGGCGGGGAAGAGGGCGCGCGGGGTGGGAGTGCGAGGGGGAGGACCCCCCGAGGCTTCCGTTGGCGGAAGCCGGAGGCCAGGTGTCTTCCCCGCACAGCGCGGGGGCAGCTGCAGGAAACGAAGTTGGAAAGTCAGGCCGGAGCCGGTGAGCCTGGTAGGCCGCTGGAAGGGGCGCCCCGGGGGCTCGGAGCAGGGCGTCCCCTTTGAGGCGAGTCACCCCGGGCACTGCAGTAGCCTGAGTGGCAGATGCGGGTGGCCTAGGCCGGGGGCGCGGCCGGCTTCGGGAATGTAGTTGAACGCTGCAGCCGTGAGGATTTGTGAGCAGTCGGCCTGTAGGTGTGAGATATGAGAGGAAGGGGAGGCCACTCCTCTTGATTATATTAGAGACCAGTTGCAAGGAAAATTTGTTGACACGCTTGCTTCTTATTTTTAAATGAAGTTCATTGAAATGTAACTTATACACTATAAAATTCACCCTTTTTGTTATAAAGTCTGTGAGTTTTGAAAACCACCACAAAATGAAGACAATTTTCCCTGGCCCCTCCTGCCCCCACCCCCACCCCCGCAGTCCCTGGAAACTACGGAGGTGATTTCTGTTGTGCCCTTTCGGAATGTGTAAATGGTCTTATATAGTAAGTAGCCTTTTGGGTCCGGCTTCCTTCGCTTAGCATAATGCTTTTCTTTTTCCAAAAGAAAGCAGCTTTATACTTGCGATAATTTTAAGTTTAGAGAAATGTTGCAAACACAGTACACAGAGTTCCCATATACTATGTACCAGCGCCATTTCCCCTAAGGTTACTGTCTTACCTGACTAGGGTACGATCATCTAAACTAGCACACTTACATTGATACCATACCCTTAGCTAACTGGCTAACTTCATTCAAATTCTGCTGCTAAGGTCCGTTTTGGTGTCTCGAATCCAGCGCAGGGTCCCGCACTGCATTTAGTTGTCGTGTCTCCTTAGTCTGCAAATGGGAACAAGTGTATCTTTCATAACCTTAGGAACGTTTTTGAAGAGGACTGGTGGCCACTTTGGCTGCAGAATGCCCCCTCAATTGGGGTTTGTCTGACCTAATGCATTTCGGGGGGGAAAATACCACCCAGGTGATGTTTTGTTCTTCTCATTGCATCATACCAGGAGGTAGATGAAGTCAGTATGTCTTACTACTGGTGGTGTTAACTTTGGTCACTTGATTAAGTACCTGCCAGGTTTTTTCCACTGTGATGTTACTATCGTGTAAGACTTTGAAAATGCATCCATGTTGCTGCAGGTACGACCGGTTTTCTTCTTTTTAAGGCTGAATAGTATTTCATTGTATGGATGAGCCACAATTTGTTTATCCATTTGTAAGTTGATAGGCATTTGGTTTGCTTCCGTCTTATGGCCTGGTGCTATTTGATAGGCCTGTTGAATATAAATAATTTCACAGAACACCAACAAGGCTACCTACCCCATGATCACAGGGAGGCAGGACAAAAATAAGACAACTACATAATTAGGTCTGAACGCAGACATAAATAAGAGCTTTGTCTTAACCACGTAAATGACAAAACATCCTCCTATCCTGGCTAATAGGAGGGCGTGCTGCCTCTTGACCAATCCTGGCTCAAGCCTCACTTCACTCCTTCCTCCTACATCTCATTCACTGAAATATACAAGCAAAGGATCCTGTTTTCTGACAGCATCCAATCCAGATGAAAGCCTCCTTCCGTGAACCCTCCCTGACCTAACCCAGCACAAGCCCACATCCTATAATAAACCCTTTTTAACAGTTGAGATGCCTGCAGCTCCTCACTGTGAACTTCTCTCCTTGCAACTTTCCCGACTGCAGGCATGTCCGTGGGCTTTCCCTGGAGAGCCCTGATAATGCAAATAGCATGTGAACACGTGTATCCATAACCCTTGCTTTCACTCTTGTCTCCATACGTCCTGTTTCTCACTCCAGTTCTTGTTACTAATATCTTGGGAATTCCTCCGTTTTTAAAAAATGCAAATGCAAATAAGTACTATGGTATAACGTATATCCCCCCTCCCTTTCTCTTACAAAACGCTATTTGCACCTGACTTTGCCCCATTCTAGGGAACCTCTATCAGATATGAGGGAACATCTTTATTTTTTTCTTAAACCTGTGAAATCTGAACATTGGAATGATTTATGGAATTAAACAATCTGATTTGGAACTCGGATTTTTGAGCCTCATCTTCTGGACATGTTTTCCTTTGTTTTTGGGGGGGAGGTAATTAGGTTTATTTATTTTTATTGAAGATATTGGGGATTGAATCCAGGACCTCATGCATGCTGGGCATGCACTTTACAACTGAGCTATACCCTCCCTGCTAGACATTTATTTTTAACCTGAGTATCCTCTGCTCTGCTGATAGACCAACATTCACTTCTGAAGCCAACCAGCTGTCTGCTTATAAATACTGTGAACCAGCAAATTACATTTAATTAGACTTTGAATTAGGCTTTGTTCATTTGAGTTGATTTTTTTTAAATGTTAAAAATTTTTTAAAAATTTTTCTTTTCGGGGAGGATAGGTAATTAGTTTTCTTTATTGATTGATTTATTTTAATGGAGGTACTAGAGATTGAACCCAGGAACTCCTGCATGCTAAGCATGCATTCTACCACTGAGCCATACCCTCCCCCCTTGTTTTTTTAATTGTAGTAAAATACATATAACATAAAATTTACCATCTTAACTATCATTAAGGGCACAGTTCTGTTGTGTTAAGTACATTCACATTGTTGTGCATCTAATCTCCAGAACTCTTTTTATCTTGTAAAACTGAAACTCTATGCCCATTATTTTTAAACTATTTTATAACTTATATAATAAATTATATAAAAGCAGTAAAATGAACGGTTTTTTAGTGTAGAGGTCTGTGGGTTGTGACAACACTGTCGTGTAACCACCAGCACAATCAAGATGTGGGACAATCCCGTCACTTCCCCAGGTCCCCCTACCCCTGTGTGTGTTCACTCCTCCCTGCTCTGGCAACCACTGATATGTTTTCTGTCCTCACAGTTATGCCTATTCCAGAATGTCATATAAGTAGAATCTTTTTTTATAGCAGCCATGTTGTATGGTGTGAGTGTGCTATTGTTTATTGAATTTATCCCCTTTGGATGGACGTGTAGGTTGTTTCTGGTCTCTTGCTGTTAATCACAGTGGTCTAAAGAACAACTCTGGAGATGTGTCATTTTGGATGTGTGCAAGTCTCACGGTTGTAAAAATGTCCAGACTTGGGATTGCTAAATCAAAGGGGAAATGCATTTGTAATTTTGATAGGTTTTCCTCCAAAGGGATTGTAAAGTTTTGGGAAATATGTTATTTTTCTCTTTTTCTTGTATATGCAGACCTTTAATTCTGAGTTCTCCCCCTGATTTGACTTACTAGATAGAAGTCAGTTACCCTTTTAATGTCATGGATCCAAATTATGCCTTTCTCTGTGTCTGTCTGTCTTTTATAAAATTCCTCAGGGACAGACAAAGATTTACAATGTGCTTTGAGACTCACATGTTTCTTTGACATGATGTCACCTTGATCCTATTTGTTGTCATAGTACATATCTTCCCTGCCTAGTTCAATTCTCAGAACTTACAGTCACACAGAAGTAGTATTTTGACTGAAAGTTGAGAGGCCAGTGGTTTTCATACCTTTTTAAAAGCACTAGAACCTGTTTTTCAAATGAATTCTCAGATCTGACTCTTTCCCAAGCCTCCAAGGCAGTGGTTCTCAAACTTGGGCATTTGTTAGAATCACCTGGAGACAGATGTGCCCCACCCCCACCCCCGACAAAGTTTCTGATTCAGTGGGTCTGGGATGGAGCCCATGGCTTTGCATTTCTAACAAGATCTCAGAGGCTGCTGCTTCTGCTGGCCTGGGGACCACTCTGAACCACTGCTCTGGGTGCCGAGGAGCACACAAATCAAAACAGCTTATTTAGAGGATGAACACCGTGAAGATTATTACTAAAGATTTTTGTTAAAGGCATTCTTACATTTGTGTGTGTGTACACATATGTGTGTGTGTAATATATATCTCTGTGTGTACATGTGTGTATATATATGTGTATATGTATATTTGTAGAAAAACTAGCATTTTCTGATTGTTTCTCTGTGTGATTTTTCTAAAGCCCATCTCAAGAATTAGTGCGACACAGAAAACCTGATGCCACCTTTCCGGATTGTCCCAGGCAGATTATTTTCCCAGCTGTATTGTGGGTTGAAGTCTCCAGCCTCCAAACACACCAAGATTTGCCTAACAATGGCTCGTCCAAGCTCAGGTAGGTCTTTCTAGTAGCCTGCCATCTCATCTCCAGTGAAAGCTGAAGTGCCTGAAAGTCCCTGCACTTTGAGAGGGACCGTCTGTCTTGAAGTGCGTGCGGGGCAGGATGTTAGAGAAAGTTGGTCTGTCCTCTTCTCCTTAGGGAAGTCCTTTCCAGGACAGCGTCAAAATTCTCTCTCAATAGCCATGTTCACTCCATTTAAGACATTCTGTCACTTCTTCCAGAATGTTTGCATTTAAGCTTTTTGCACGTGATTTATATTTTAAACCCCTCACCTCTCTGCAGGGCAAGAAAGCTAGTGATTTTCTTATGGGATAACATGGGGTTAAATTTTCTAACTGGGCAGAAATGATTTGTATCTCTGCCTGATGAAAACCTACACGTTAACTCTGACCCAGGAACCGGTTAGTTGGTAGGATGACAGGGTTTACGTTTGAGGTGGAAAAAGACCTTTAGGGCTGGGGAAAGTTTCATGGATGAGCTTTGAAGTCCTTAAGGACGTTGGAAGGGTGTGAAGCCAGGAGTCATAGACGTAGTTCCTAGAAAAGTACAGGTACATTTTCTTCTTAAGCAGCTTGTTCTTCCAGGAGATAAGATCAGATTCCAAATGCTAATCCACACAGACTGGGTTTCTTTTTCTGAATTCTTCCTGGTTGGACAGCTTTAGAGGACCTTCACACAGTCTCTCTCTGACAGGGATGCGCATTTAGGCAGAGTGCTGGCGTGGCTGGCAGATAGTTGAGCTGGTTGCAGCCGAAGAGAACGGTGTGCCTGAACCACCTTCATTCCTTTGAGTTGATGTTGCTGAAAACACGGTCCCAGAGCTCCAGGAAGGCTGGGGGGAGGGGGCTGGAGCTCTGCTTCTTTGTGTCTGAGGGTCTGCTTTTATTCTTTGTTTATTCTTGCCAGTAGTCAGAGAGGAAGGGAAGGGGAGGAGAGGTTGACTCTTTTTTGAGATTCTCTGTCCTGGGCTGGCCATAAAAGCAGCTCTGGGTTTAACGAGGGTGAGGAAGTCCCATCCCTGCCTACAGGGCGCTGTCAAGTATGAGAAACCAGTAAGATCCACCTTCCCCTTGTGGTGTACAAAGTGGAGTCACATTGCCTTTAATGTTCAGTTCTTGTCTCTGAGCCCCCATCCCATTCTCTTCCGTCCTTTCCTCCATCACTGGTTCCATGTCTCAGGGATGCTCATTGAGTCCAAGGGTTAATTAGCCTTGGTTGCCATTGCCTCCTGGGGAGACCAGAAAGCCTGGTCCATCAGCCAAGGAACTTGCTTCCACTTTTGCTCAAACCTTCAGTGTGTTAGTCCTAGAAGATGTCTGTTCCCCGGGCAGACCCTGCTCCAGTGGCCCAGGCTGGCCACAGGCAGTGCTGGCCCACACTCACTCCTCCGGGTCGGGGCAGAAGAGAGATGGAGGCAGAAGAGGGGGTCTCTTCTCCCACAGCTTATGCTTGGCTCCAAACCGCTTAGGCCTGGCCTGCCGGGGTCCCAGCATTTACAGAGCGCAGTGCCTGGGAGAGAGGGGGTGCTGTCACCTAATCTCTGCTGTGTGCTGTGCCCTCATCTAACCTCTGCTGCCCAGGAGAAACAATGGCAGGTCTAAGTCTGGCTCCTCGTCCTTATCCTGGGATGAGAATGTTTGCTTCTGAGGCAAAGTCCACCTTGTGGTGTGTGTGAGGGGTGTAGTGAGCATCACTAAAGGAAGGCTGCTGCCCCTGTGGGTCTGAGATCAGGTGGGAGGATGCCTGGAGGTGCAGGATGAGGCTGTCAGTCCTGGAGGGCAAGCCACAGGCCATGACCACGAGTGTCTGCTATCATGTTACTCTCTGTGTTCAGTTCCCTTCTGTTACCCGAAGTCTCTGGGGACACCTTGTTGAAAAGTCCAGCTCTTGAGCCGTAGCAGAGAAGATCATGTGTCCAGATGGGGACAGCACATTTGCTCACAGGGAAGGGACCCTCAGCCTCACCTTGGTAGTGATGCTGAAGGAAGCTGCAATTAACAAGATCCTCAAAGCGAAGTGAATTTGGGGAGGAAGGGAAGACTCTCGGGTCCAGTGGGCCCCACGTCAGCCCTCACACACACACAAGCTTGTTTTTACTTTTAAGAAGGAAGATACGTGCTCCTCCATTAGCCTTTTTTAATCCTTATAGCAGCTCTGCTCCAGGGAAGGCACTGAGTACCTTACACAGCCAGGGAAATCCAGGAGGGCAGGGGGTCCATCATTTGCATAAAATATCACTTGTGGGAGGTGGGGTGGGAGGCAGAATGGGACTCAAAGCCAGCGCTGTGTGCCCCAAGCCCCTCCTTCTTTCTTAAGACACTGTACACTCACACACCAGGCTGCATGGGTAGCGTCTTCATGGTGCGGGTATGATTTTTATTTGGGTAACTTAAAGCATAATTTCACAGAAGATCAAGTTTCAAAATTCAGGCAGTTGATTCGGGGTGTAAACATCCAAACGGTGCACTGGATTGGTCCAGGTTTTATTCTCTCTTTAGATATGGCAGACTTTCGGAAGATTTTTGCAAAAGCCAAGCACATAGCCATCGTTTCAGGAGCCGGTGTGAGTGCTGAGAGTGGGATTCCGACTTTCAGAGGAGCAGGGGGTTACTGGCGGAGATGGCAAGCTCAGGTTAGTCGTGCGTCCAGAAGGTTAAGAGGCTCTTCTGAATGAAGCCGTAACAGAGTCTGACTCAGAGCCCATACCTAAGCCTGAACCCCAAGGGGAACGTTTTGCAATTTATGATGACCCCTTGGTCCGGTTCTCTTTGGCACCAACACAGAGTCCACCCGATTAAGATCTCAGATGTAAGCAACACAGCCTCTGTCCTGTCTTTGCAGGCATGTATAGATTGCGCTTATTCAGGTGACAGATTTCTTCCAGTAGTTAAGTGGGATCAGGAAAACCTTGCTTTACATAATTCATTGCTTTTCTATAGATACTGAAATTAAGAATTACACAGTTTTAATCTATGAACTTTTCATATGAAAACCAGTGTTGAATTGCTAAAGGCTTAGGCCTTGATGCTCAAAACTTTACACGAAGACTGTCAGGATGTAAGTTCTCTGGGGGCGTGGAGTTTTTTAAATTCAGTTTTTATTGGGGTATAATATACATGCAATAAAATTAACCAATTTTAAGGTACGCTTCAGGCCACTTGGGTTCTGAGCGAAGGGTGGGAAGGGAGGGAGGAAGGGCTGACGTACACAGGTGATCCACTTCCCAGTTGAAGGCTGACATTACTACCAGGTCGAAGGGTAACCTTTATAGTAAAATAAAATGCATACTACCACCCCCAGCGCAATCAGCGTCTGGATTATTTAGGTCTTTGCTAAAGGCTCCCTTCACCAGCCACCCTGTGCTTTCGCCATAGATGAGCTCTCTCTCCCGGAAAAGGTCTTGTACTTAAAATATATATGTTCTGTTACTATAATATATATTCTGTTTTTTATACGTGTAGTTGTGTGTGTGTGTGTAGCTATAATTACAGTTGTGAAAACTGAATTTTTCAGCTGTGGCCATGGTACCTGAGTTGGGCATTTTGCGTCTTCCTTTTTGTCCTGGATAAGGGAGATTGACTTCATGCGTGGAGCTCCATGGAAAAGCAGATTCCAGCCTCAGTTACCTCCCCACGTATTACTCTACTTCATGTCTGTGACTTGCCTGAGTGGAGGACGGGACAGGCTGCAGTCTCCCCGCCTTGTCACTGGGGAAATTAAAACCGATTTCTCCCAGGTGCCTTTAAGTCCCAGGATTGGGACACAGGCTGCTGTCCAGGCCCCAGTCCCGTGTTGGCCACACTGCGTGAACCCACAGGGGACGTGTTCTCGCTGGCACCTCCCAGAGCTGCCTGCCTAGAGCACAGGGGGCCTCCGCGTTTGGCTGTCACCTCCAGGTTCCACACCCCTGCCACTCGGCTTCCTGAGCATCAGAGCTCCATGACCCCCACCTCCTCTCTCACCCCCAGGACCTGGCCACCCCTCAGGCCTTTGCCCGAAACCCGTCCCAGGTGTGGGAGTTCTACCACTACCGGCGGGAGGTGGTGCTGAGCAAGGAGCCCAACACTGGCCACCTCGCCATCGCCGAATGTGAGGCCCGGCTGCGCGGGCAGGGCCGGCGGGTCGTGGTCATCACTCAGAACATTGATGAGCTGCACCGCAAGGCTGGCACCAAGAACCTTCTGGAAATCCATGGTAAGGGGCCCTCGGTTTCCCTTGGCGGAGGCAGGTGGGGGGGCAGGGAGGACCCAGACCTCAAAACACATGTCCCAGCTGGACTCATGGAGTCAGAGCTGCATCTTGACAAGACCCAGATGTCTGGACCACAGGTTACACTGGAGGAACCAGGTCTGCACTGCCACGTGCTCCCCTCCCTGCAGGGCCCAGGGGAAGCGGGAGGTTTGGGCCATTGAACAGCTGTGACTTTAGCAGGATTTAGCCTGGGAAGACTTGGCATCCCTGGGGAATCCATTTACTCTCCCTGTGTCCCCGACTGTCATTCTCTGCTGAGCCTGGGCTTCTGCTCAGCCCTGGAGGCTTGAGGGAGCTGCCAGCTCAGTGACCTTCGCTGCGGCGAGCCCGCTGGGTCTGTGACATCTCGGGGCTTCCCTTCTCTGCCCTTGACGACACCCTCCTCTTCTGTCTTATCCTCTTAATCCTCTCCCCTCTTTGGCTTTCCCTCCTAAATCTCATAAGTTCATTCCTACAAGAGCATAAATGGGCGCGAAGGGATTTCTTCCCAAGGGCATTTAAGAGCCTACAAAAGTTCAGCCCCAAGGAATGCATTTCAAATCGTGGAATTTCCAGAAGCAGAGACCCAGTGGGGAATGTTGCTTGTTTTGTGTGTGTGCAGTGATGTTGCCCGTTTTTGTCCAGGCTTGTGACCAGCCTGCTGATGGAAGCTGAGGGCTGTCACTTGGGTCCTGTCTCTGTTTTGTGTCCCAGCAACTACTAACCCTGTGTCTTTCTGGCACCTTCTTCTTCTGGGTCTGGGCTGCTTTCCACGTGGTGCTTCCTGTCTCTGCAGTGTCAGAATGACAGCCGTGTCACTTGCCATGTATAAAGTGTATGAAATGATAAACCTATCTTGCTGAGTTGTTTAAAGGGTTAAGCACGGTAATATATGCACATTATTTGAGACTTATCTTGGGTTGCAAGTAGTGAGAACTCTCTTCTAATTTAAATAAAACTAAAAGAAAGCCCCTCTTTTCATCAAACTGAAGATGTCATCAGTTTTAAGATGCAGCACATTTTCAGTGTGAAAGCCAATCTGCGCCTAAACGATGACATCTTATTATCCCTTAGAATTGTTACTTTGTGCTCACAGAATTGGCTTGTTACAGCTTACTTAGACACAGATTTTAGAAACGATGCCACTCTTGTGCATATAAAAAACAAAATATGGGTGAAATAAAGTGGTTTAGGCCTTCCTCACTGTTCAGCTCTTCAGGAGGACTTCTGAGGGACTCGGAGGCATCAGTGACTGTGCGCCCCACACAGCACCATGGGCCGTGCCATCCTGGGCATCGGGAAGGAGTGTCCTGACCGCAGGCCCCCCTGTGACCGCCGGGCCCTCTTCCCAGCTGCTGCTGACACTCATTCTGCACATTTTCTATTGGGCTGGGAGGGTTCCAGTCAACAACCAGGATTCATTTCCTTCCTCAAATGGCCCTTCAGGGGTTTACTGGCTGAAATCTCCCCTGGACATTGCCTCTGTCCACCAGGCCACTGAGGATATCCACCAAGTCACCGCACGTCCCCATCCTCATCACCCTCCTCGACAAGTCTGTGTAGGTGCAAGTGTTCCTGTCGCCCAGGAAGAGTTGGAGGACACGTCTGGATTCCAGAGATGCTAATGTGGGGAAAGACGGCGTATAAACCTAACAAAATAGGCATATCGGCTCACAAAACTGGAGCAGATGGCATTGGCAGGGTCCCTTTCTTCCTCTCTCTGCCTCTTGCCTTTTCCTTCCTGCACTCTGTTTCCTCTGAGTTAACCTCTCAGCAGTAGACCTGCCGCCGCACACCAGCGCCAGCAAAGGTGGCATCTGGCGGCCCAGGCTCCCTCTGGTTTAGCTGTCTCCTCAGAAAATAAGTCTCTGGATGGCCTTGCTTGGGTCACATATCTCCCTTCTGACCAGACGCTACTGCCAGGGTGGGTAGGGGCTACAGCTGGACCAGTCTGGACCTTGTGCCCAAGCTGGTGTCTGGGGATGTGATCGACAGCTCCATCAGCTTGGCGTGGGATAGAGGAGGGATGGAGATGGTCCTCACAGAAGGCATGTGGGACAGGACGGAGCAACGTGTGTCCAGTGCAGCGAGTGA